AAGTTTCAATCTTTCACAAAAACAGTCTCAAAGTCATTCAAAACCAAATATATTACTTCTAAGCCCAGCTTTTGCTCAAACATTGCCCTATCTGCAGTTTAGGTAGATACTACTACAGAACTTCTGTTACAAAGAAAAAAAGTTAAACTTGGAACCTTGCTTTATCCTGCCAACTAAAATTGAAGTAACAGACAACCACAAGGACTCAAACTTGAGTCCAACAATGACTCGCAGTAACATCTCATAAATAAGCTTTTCAACATGGTCAAGTGTACAAACTAGCTCACTACAAAGACTCAAAACTTTAGTCCAACAATGGCTCACAATAACGTCTCATAAATAAGCTTTTCAACATAGTCAAGTCTACAAACTAGCTTACTATGATCATGGGTTCTACACCCAAAAATCAAAGTTAAACACCATTAAGTCCAACACCAGGCTCTACCAATCGGACAGCAAAGAATAATAATGTATTAAATACTAATAAATATGAACATTACACACTAAAACCACAAATAAACCCACCAAAATATACATTGATCTGAACTAATAAAAAACCAAGCGTAACATAAATTATACATAAAGAAACAGATAGCAAGAAGAGTGGATATGTGAAAAGAAGGGGCAAAAGGGATGACCTTTCTTGGAAGAAGGCGAGAGCGGAATTGGCATCCAGGCCCGATTGGGATAAATATGTTTGGACATCCTCTACGAAGGCGGCCGCTGGTATTCCTCTTCTCTCCGTCACAGTTCCTTCGATTGCTGATGCTGATGTTGACGCCATTTTGCTTCTTCTTTCCGGAAGAGGGAAAGTAAAAAAGAGAATAGAAAGACCGAGGAACAGAGAACGACCGATTCGCTCAGTTGAACTTGGAGCTGGATGGACTCAACAGAGAGAGTGTCGTTTCATCAGGGAAAACGTAAAAAAAAAATTCTTTAGAAAATTCTTTGATCAAAACATTTGATGGTCTTTTTCCTGATTACCTTTTAATGGTTATGTGATTCGCTACCAAACTTTTATTGGGCCGACGCTAGGTAACTTTAGCATGTGGTTAACTCGAATTGCTCCGGTCCACTGAAGCAATGTGGGCTTTCGTACAACAATTCATGTTTGGAGCAGGAGGGGCCTCGGAGGCGGGCAACGATGTGAAAGTCTCGGATACAAAAGTCCACTTGGCTCAAGCAATTGAGCAAAAGGGATAGCGTCTGATCAAGAGGACAGACAACAGCCTGCTCCTGTCTGAGTATGTGCCATCTGGGCTGGGTTTTGGTGTTGTCGGCCCATAAAATTCCAGAGAGTCAAAAGTCCATTTATATATAGTTGCTACAAGGATGACTTGCCAAAAAAAAAAAAAGGAAGGTAGCGAGAGAAGAGAAAAAGAAACTGAAAAAAGAAAATAAATAAAGAATATAGAAGGATCCTTTTCACTTTTCACTATGATGATTGGCTCGGAATCAGATACATAGGCAAACAATTAGCGTCTTTGATTAATGTGAGCGGTGCGGCGCGAGGCGCGAAGCTCTCCATGTCATGTCGGAGCCAATTCTTCTTCTTCTTCTTCAAAAAAAAAGAGAGCCTACTTACTTACTAGTACTTAACTAGTCCCTAAGAGAGCCATTCAAGGACAAGAAAGTGAAACAGGTTGGATTTGTCAAATCAAACAGGTTTGGTTGCCGTCGGTCTAATTATAATCTCCAATAATCCATAATTGTGGTTAAGCTGGTCGTGTAGGGACTCACTCGCGTCCCTTTGATTGAAACTTGTTCATATCATGCCTGCATCTCTCTATTATAGCTCAGATTCTCCATTACAGATTATGCTAGCAGCACACGTACATGTCCTTTATTTACTGTCACATCTGACATATTATATACTATAATTCCCTCTCTGGCGATGAAGTTTTTGGAGAAAAGATTGGAATGGTGCTATGACTATGGGGTAGAAATACTGCACCTGATCCATCATAGCTTCTTCTAGCGTGATCATATTATTGTTAATTTTATATATGGCGATGTAGATATATGCTTTTGGTCAGTATAATATACCATACACTAGTCTACTACTATGAAGTGACGAGAAGATTAACCAACTCCCAATTTAATCAATTAGTAGATTGTAATTAATGAAGTTTAAAGCTTCAAAAACATATTCCGAACACCATTCATCATCTGCGTGAAATCCCAGATCATATATTATTATTATTATATCTATAAAAGCACTTATATGATGGAGCCTGGTCACACATGGTAATACCAGTACTTATTATTAGGAAGGAGTTAATGGCAACAGGCGTGAAGCGTGGATCACCAGTCTTTCATAGGCCACATCTGTATATTGATCCACATGCTTGCCACTAATGATTTTGATGCTAAGTGGAACCCACCATTAATCCCCTTTTCTTTTTTTCCTTTGTTTTGGGTGGTAGTTTCTTTCTTCTGCTCATCCCAGATTAAGCACTACTTTATTGAAACCCTCAACCTTTTTTCCCAAATCGTTGTTTATTAGTAGTAATTCCTGGGGCCTAACCTCTTAGGTGAGGTTGAGTCCATGGCCAACCCCCATGTGCCTGCTTCTATATATTAGTTACTTTTTGATTCATCAACCTGTATAGATAGATATCTATTGTGCTTTCCACTTAGGTGTGCGATGAGACCTGATGATGTGATGATTAAACTAATGCTGTGTTAAGATGTCAAGTGGATGCTTACTAATGACTTGCCTGCTTATTTTTTATCTCTTCCATCTAACTTCTGTGTTAAGCAAGTCACTTGCCAATTTTGGATGCCATTTTCCTGTCCCCAAAAAACATCACCACAGGATCATCTGCAAGACAAATTTCAGTAGATATGATGAAGAAAGAACTTGGGACAACCGCCTTGAGATCCCTTTATGTGTTTTTGTTCTTTCTTCCGCAGTTGAGTTAAGCCTGGTAGGATGTACTTGTTGTGGAAGAGAGAACAGTACGTACAGAAATGGTGGCTGTCTGTGGTTGTTAAAATGATGAAGACGTGGCCCCTAAAACAACCTGTTTCCTCATCATGAAACCTAATGTTCAGGCAATTATATGAGAATGATTACCGTCTACATCTCCAGCAAGACATACAGGATGCATATGTAGACATCGATCTTGATATTTTTAGTAGAGTTGCAAACATAACAAAAAAAAAAAAAAAAGGGTAGTATACAGCAAGAAGTTGCTGGCACCTACGAACGATGACCACTGAAAACCGAAATCTTACATTTACACAGGCACGCCATGTATGCAAGCCAATTAGAATGTGGGTTGACAAACTCTTGTCACGACACAGAACGTTTCTAATCTCCCATAGTGCTGTGCTGGTGTCAAACAACATGGCAAGTGTCCAAAACGTAATCCAATCCCTGACGGTCTCACCGGGGCAACTACAATGCGGTGATGACACGAATGAGTGCCGTCATGACTTGTCATTTGCAAAGATAAAAAGGAGTAAAAAGGGAGGCCATGTTCGCTTTTTTTTTTTTTTTTTGGGGTTGAAAATGCCATCTTCATTATCTTGATCATTACTGTTTATCCTATACTATCTTGTGGTGGTTGGTGGTGATGGATGGAAGAAAAACATGGTATATATATATATATATATATATTATTTTATGATAGGTTGTGTGAATATGAAAAACTTATTATTCAAAAAATGAGAAATTCAAACAGAGCCTTTGATTTTGAAATCCAATTAGGAACATCCATCTGATTTGATGTAGATTGAAGCAACATTGTGGACGAGGATCGATGAAGAACGATCTAGTTTTATGGGATGCATATGAAACTGTTACGCTGTAGTTGATTCTTCAAGAATAATACGCGCACAAAACACATTTCTTGTTAAAAGCTAGTACTATTTTATGCACAAAAAAGGGAAAGGAAAAAAGAACAAGAAAAGGGAAGAAGGTGCATTTAGTCATTGGCATCGAAAAAACAAATAATGTATGGTTGTTCATCTACGCGCAGTGTAATAATATTGACAAGTCCAACAACTTGCTGCGGCGTAACCAACCCCCCCCCCCCCCCGGCCCTCTGATGTATGTTAATTCTGCCTCTGCCAGATGATCGAAGACGTGTGTTTCATCAGAAACTTCACGCCAAACCTTAAAACAGATTCACTTCATTCTGTTCTGTTGGAGAAGCAGAAACTATCATCACATGCGACCGCAACAGCCACTGCGTCTTGTGGGCGGTACCATGAAACAATTCCAACCATTCCTATGCATTGCAAGCGGTGCTTTGTCATTAATTTGCTGCCTACCTGCAAATTGCAATATGGCCTGTGCCTCCTCCATACTTCATTCAATCATCCTCACGAATTGATTTAAGGCTCTTCGCCGACCAAAAATTTCTCTATCTGTAGCGTGCCCAAAACTAATAAAACATTAAGGGTCCGTTTGGTTGGACTGAAAATATTTTCCTTGATCGAAGTCATTTTCCTGGAAAATCACTTCCTTCCCCATAATTTTTCAGTGTTTGGTTATTAAGTGAAAATATTTTCCAAATTCCTTTTTTCATAATTTTTCAGTGTTTGGTTTGTCAATGAAAATATTTTCTGATATGTTTGTTGATATGTTGCAAAATATGCTCCAACGCTTGCATGCACTTAAATTTCACACCTTTTTTTTTTAACTAACAACAATCTCATTATTATTTTTATTATATAGTTATCATTTGTTAGACTTTACATTAAAAATGATAGTAAGAGTGTCATTATAAAAAAGTGAAATGTGATTAACATTTCACTTTTGCTTATCAAGACACAAATGTTTCAAGTATAATTCTTTGCATTGAAGCAAAAAAAAATCTTGCTTTAGTTGGACAAATGGCAACTTCTGGTGACAAAATGGGAACGAACAACAAAACAAGAAGTCGAGTTCCTTGCATCCCAAATTTATATTTATATACTATGAGTATATATATACATATATATATTGGTGTAGTTGGTGGTAATTACTGCAAATAGAACGCAATGAATTGGACGGCAATGAATCATCAAGTGTAGTAGGAACTGCTGCTGCTACTCAGCATTGCAGAAATGGCAATTTATACATTACAAGCCAAGAAGACAGTTGATCCCGATCTTCAATCAATCTCTAGATATACAGATTCAAAAGAAAAGAAAAGAAAAACATAGTCTAGAATAGATCTCAACTCAAGCACTGATCAGCTAGAATATCAGCACCAATAAACTCGGATGTCCAGACACAACTTTGAACAAATCCAATTGGCCTGCACCTACAAATTCCCAAGGCCACGGCAAGTGGCAACGTACTCAGTCAGCCCTCCTTTTTTCCACTTCTACATCACCTCCAAGGTTCAATGGTGCTAAAACACAACAGGAAAAATAAATATCTTAATACGTGAGAGAAGCATCAAGTCCACTCGTAAAGTACAAACCTATTATAACTCATAGGCCATACAAGAAACAATTATTCTGACAAGGCAATTGCATAATTCAGTTCACGTACTTTATTCTGGCAAGGCAATTCGACATACTGTTTCTGCCTAATCTGCTCGTGTCCTTTTTCTGCTAAAATATTTGATGCAAAGCCACTAAATATACATGATAGAGAGAAAAAGGGAGGGAGAGAGAGAGTGCACAGAGGGCATGTAGCAATCAAAAAGGTTTTGACTTGTTGATATGCAACCATGGTTTAAAGCTAAACTGAACCATGGCAAACAAAATCTGAATTAATGGTTCAGTTTTTGTTTTCTTGTTAGAATCACTGCAAAAATATTGGCTATTTAGATAGTACAACTAAGATTACACATAATTGTCACCAAACAAGAATACCAACAAATAATTGAGTAAAAAACAGAGGAGCAAGTCTACAGCAAATGTGCCCAAAATTCGCTTGCTGATATTGTTGTTGATTGATGTTTCCATAAGTATTGTCGGATGATTTATTTATTTGCAAACTTTCTTACAACTGAAATTTTCTTGCCCTATTTTCTATTTTGCCCAGTCGGAAAACTAGGCTTTCTAGCCTGAAGCTTGGATCAAATCAATCTGTACTCAACTGAAGCTTGGCTGATTAACAGCTGATACATATATGCAGTGATCTTGTAAACCATCAAGCAAACTAATCTTAGGTTTCTAAAGCTACACAACAGTGATTCATCATACTCATGTTTCTAGTCTGGGAGAGTGATATTAGGTACATCAAGCTAGCCCCTTCAACATGTTGGAGCATGCTACAGAAAGGAATCAAACATTAGCAAGCATCTACATGAACTGGTAGGTTTCTGTCCAGTCATAAAAGTTATTCCAACCACGATCAATATCATTGGTTCCTGCTTCAACTAGCTCCTTAGCATCCTCATCCTTAATGTCGTACAAAATTACCTTACCCAGCAAAGAGATCACAAGCCTTGGTTTCTTTTCTTTCTCATCCTCAAGAAAACAACACATGTAAAATCTACATAGATCCTGATCAAGCGGCATATGAGGAGAAGGCATGGTCAAATTCAGGCATTCTTTATCTAAATCAAAGCACAGAGTGTCCCTCCAACCACTTATCTAATTAAGATTACCATTCTATAACACTCCATTCGTGAAATAAATATACATTTTCAGTGCTTATCTATGAAATTTTAACATCAATGTATCTAAAACATTTTGAAACTGTGACAGCTCCACCTTCCCTTAAGGCGTATCAAAGGGGTTAGCGGATTGCCTGTCCAACACTCGCCAGGATTACTAAGACAGTTATGTACAATCTAAAAAGTTTCGAAAGATATTAGCGCGCTTAAACTATTCAAAATCACGAAACGGAAAAACGAAAATCAGAACCGCAAATGAATAGTACCGGCCACGTCACAATCCGACCGGATTCTTGGTCGGATTGGAGGCAGAGGCCAACCTCAAGGATTCAAAATTTCTCCTGTCAATCCGGCCAATTCTTGGCCGGATTTGCGGCCGGATTCTCCTGCAGAAATTTCTCGCCAAAATTTTCCTTTTGTCATTCAAAATTTGAACCTGCTCGAAACCTATACAAGTGCAATAAACTTTATATAACCTTAGAAGGAAACATTTCCAAACCAAAATAAAATGAACATTACCAAACACTTTTGTATACGTATGGTTGCAAATTTACAACTCAAAAGAAAATGTTTGATTAAAATACATTTAAGATTTTCCAACCATTGAGGAGCTTTACAAAAGAATATACTAAAACTAACTCAACTCATGCTTCAAAATCACAGTTCCAAAAGGTGGTTCCCTGTAAGGAAAACAAAGGCAATGGAATGAGCTTTTGCCCAATGAAGTACCATCACGCAAGTAAACAAAGTTCACATAAGCACAAAGTTACTCAATCCAAATACGTTGAACAAGTGAGTCGAACTAACACCATATCTCAATAAAGATTAAAAGGATACGGACGGCTTTCAAGAGCCTTTTTCCACTTTTGTCATACTTGATCTCACCTCATTGACTCTCCGTCAATGTATAAAGAGTAATCAATACCGTAGACTCCACTTTTCTCTAATTTCCGTCCACCTTACATACCCCTTACCGGGTCCGAACTCCAATCACTTTAGAAATGGTAATACTCGAGTATACTGGAATTAAGAGTCTCATACCCAAAGATCTCCAAAACAGTCCCCATAACTTGTCAATTTTTCTCGACCATGCCCTTACTGGTTTGATTCAATTGACCACCAATAGAGTTGAGATCAGAGTTAACAGTAAAGGTCGTTGGATAAACGTCCAATCGACACCAATTCAAGTGCATTCAAGAGAAATTCAATTGATACAGTAAACAGTCAAATAAACCATAGAGTACGAGAATGATAAAGTACACCCTCGTCTCAACCAATATCAGCAGTAAACACAAGCATTCCAATCATAGATTTCAGGTATAACAAGGCCATGAAATAACAATCATGTGAGTAGTACACTCACCAATCAAACAAAAGGGATTTCCCAAATTTCCGCCCAACGAGTGCCTTGAGTCACCGGCATGCCCTAAAACATTCAAGAAAACACAATGAGATTCGAACACGAGTCATAAACCTAATCCATATACTACTCACACAAAGCCAAAAGAACTTGAAAATGAAAATAAGGAATACTTGGTGCTAAAGGTTTAGACAACCCCAAAGGCACTCATGTCTACTCACAACAAGCCAATTACATGCAATCACCTAGACTTAAAAATTGGACAGCATTTTTCCTAAAATTTCAGATTTTCATTCTACAAACAATCATTCATATTGAACCAACACAACCACAACTACAAGTACAAGTCACAAGCCATTCAATACACCTTATTAGGGTTACAATGCCCTTTAATCAAAGCCAAATCAAGAATTTCACAACAACTCTAGAAAAGTCCCAAATTCAATACCCTAAAACTGAAATTTTCGCACAAAGTTGAAATTTTTCGTAAATAACTATAATTAACACACCAAAACTTCACTTTGGACCAGATCAAGCCATTATCCACGGCCAACCAACATTTATCATATAAAATCAGAAAAATCATGAATAAAATCAGAAATTTATCAAACTCTACTAAAAGTCATGAAATCTTCCACAAATCAACTTTTTTAATTACCACAAGTCACTAATAACCCATTATTAAGAACAACCTATGAATTACTACACACCATACCTTGACACCTCAAGAAAGGTAGTAACTTATGTTTCTTTCTTCCAAAACAACTCCACCACCTTCTATAAACCTACCTAGCAAAGGACTTTTATAGAGTGTTTTCAAAGTTTGGTGGCTGAATCACAAGATTTGTACAATAAATGGATGAAGTAGTTGGAGTCTTCTCTTCTTTTCTCTCCTTAGGAGTTTCGGCCAAGAAGATGAAGAAAATGATGATTTTGGGGTCAATTTTGGTTATTTAGTAAAGTTGAGGCAAGATGGTCAAAGTCCAAGATTGAATCATAAAGTGACACATGTCACCTTTTTGGGCTTAAACTTATCTCTAAATCTCTCCAATGTTAATCCATCTAGGTAATCTCTAATTATCTCCTAACACCTAATAATTTAATCCATTTATGCAAAACTTAACCTAATTGGCCGAATAATTCACACTTAACGCACTAGCGAGTCCCACGTCCAATATACATTTTTAAAATCTCATGAACTAATTTATACTAGAAAAATGATTTAAAAACTATATTTACTCATAAAAATTATTTAGAAAATTTTTCTAATAAAGAAAATAAAGAAAAGGCGTGCAATTAAATAAAATAAAATTTAGAAAATAAGAAAATTTTCGAGTTCTCACAGAAACACATTATTAAACTGTTGAGGGGAAACATATTCTAAAACACAAAGTCATATCCTTATTGGCAAAAAGTTAGAAAATCTAATATTGGGCATAATTTCCTAGTTAGCTAAATAACTAATTCCGTGCCCATCAATCAAATCAGATTTAACCCTAATCAGATAAGAACAAACAAAAACAAAAACAACCCACAAAAATTCATTCAAATCCAACTTCAAGAATCTACACCAGTAATTCATGACAATTTTTCAAAGGAAAAGGGAGGGAAAAAAAAAACCAATAAGAGACCACTATATTTTTGGAAATACTTAAGAAGTCTTCACCCTTGCTGGAAATGTTATTGTAGGAACGAGAATGAGATGTCGCTGCTAGAGTGGGGATGAGCCGTTGATAAGAGATGTCGCTATCGCGGCCGCTTTTAAAGGAAAAAAATGAGGAAGAGAGGGAGAGAGAGAGAAGCCGGAGCCGCCGGCGAAGAAGAGTGGGTCTTTCCCTTGGATTTGTTTGCTGGATGAGATGTCATTGCTGAAGAAGAGTCTGTTATCACTGCCGAAGAGTCTGTTTAAGAAAGGAAAATAACTTCACAAAGATAGATAAGGAAGTTATTTTCCTCCAATGGATGTAACTTATTTTATGTCAGAAATTATTTTTTCAAATTAATTAACAACCAAGCAACGGAAAATATGAAAAATATTTTCCGAAAAATCTTTTTCACCCAAACAAACAGACCATAAAAGTTTATATCATATAAGTTTTAGCCTAGGTGTTAAAAAGCATAAAAGTTTAGATCACGTTTTTTATTCTCTTAGTCATGTCCAAATGTTGGGACAACTATATAGGGTTAAAAACCATTTAAGCAAATAGTAGCAGACGTTTCGATTAAGTGACTTCTTAAATTCAGATGGGTACGTAGTACACTCGTTTGATTTGGTAGTAGTTTAGTTCCCATTGATCCATTTAGATTCAATTGGGTTTCCTTCTTAATTCAGGAGAGTGTAAAATTCTATAAATAAAGTGACGATTGAAAAAAAAAAAATTGCAGTAGACGTTTCATCCCACCTGTTTAGACACGCCTTATTTACAGTTTGAATGGTTAAAGCCATATACTATCTGGCATACCTCTCGATTCCACAAATGAAAAGCCTGTGTGCCTATTCCTTTTCTTTCTTTTTCTGGGCCAATCTATCCATCCTTCGCAAATTACATACTACTACTTCAGATTCAGGAGGAGATGGCATGAGTTCGAAGGCATTATTTATTATTATTCCCTTCATTAATTCACTCCCAAATCAAAACATAATTGGTAATATTTGGGATGACTGCAAAAATAGGAATATATTTTAAATAAATAAATAAATAAAATACAACTACTCCCTCTCCAATCTCCAATAAAGAAGATAACGATAACGACTATTATTCCTTTGCACCCAAACGCCCACTCATTCTTCAGTTATTATCTCTCCGTTTCTTTTTACTTTCTTTTTGTTTGATTTTTTCTGATGAACCGATAGCAACGTTACAATTGAGAGAACTAACCGGATAAAAAAAAAGAGAAGAATGTACTGAATATTAGACAATTAGTTGTTGGAGCAGTACTAGTATTTGACAGGAGAATATTCATAAGCGATGGAGACAGGGAGAAGAGAAACTGTAAAGGAAAAATTAAAAAAAAAAAAAAAGAACGAGAATTAGTGCTATCAGCTAGCCGGAGGATGCCGGCTTGAGCCGAGCTGATTAAGAGCGTTAACAGAGCTGGAAGAGGAAGAAGAAGCAGAAGAAGAGGAGGAGGAGGAGGAGGCTCCAGAAAGCAATTGAGTCAAGGCAGTCATGGCCCGAACTTGCATCTCCAGAGCTGCTATATAATCGGTCGCCTCTTCCAAAATTACCGGCAGAGGCTGCTTCCTGCAACCGGGAACTAACCGGCCGAGAACACGCGCCTTCCTCTGAAACGCCGGTAAGTTCTTCGTCTTCAACCTCAATATCGACACTCTCGGCTTCTTCTGCCACCGGCTGTTCCCGGTGGTCACCGTCACTCTCTGCCTCTTGTGACTGGCGCTATTCTTCATAAATTTCAGCTTTATCCTGTTGGTCAGAATCGCTCTGCTCCATCGCGTCCGACCTTTCGCCGCCACCGCCAGCACTCTATCCGCAGCATCCCGCACTGCTCTGCCGCCCTTCGGAGCAGCGCCGCCGGTGATTCGGACTCGGCGGAGAGCTTGGAGAAGCTTGGAAGAGTAAGCTTGTTGTTGAGTATCGGATTTCCATTCAGTTTGAGCGGCTTGAGCTTGATTTCTGAGGTTTTGGTTCTGATTCGGAATTTTCTTCTTCTTTTTTCTCCTCAGAAGTGATCTGTCGGAGTTATTTACTGCCGGATTGGACACCGCCGTTGACGCCATCGAGGTAGGTAGACGTGTATTTCCAACGCCGATAGAAATAGGAATGATCGGTTGAGTTTTGATTCACCTATGCAAACACAACGCACGCAACATATTCCATGGACCTGCTGTAGATTCAACGAATCGGATTTAGAGTAAATTCACGTATCGAATGGAGTCAGAATTGGAGGTAAAGAATGAGAGTAAATTCACAGAGCCAAATTCAGGAGATTAATTAGTGATTAATAAAAGTAAAATTAATCTAAGAATTAGCGATTAACTAACCAGATAATGATCGTGATTAATAAGACATTAACAGGTGAGATTATGAATAGAATAGTTATAAAGGAAGTGATCCTTTTTTAAGTTTTTAACCTGGCAAGAAGAGATGAGTTTCTTCAAATATCAGCTTCGGAAACACTTTTATGATTGATTGATTGATCGGAAAATTGAAGAGCCGCTGGAGAGAGAGAGAGAGAGAGAGAGGGATAAGAGTTTTTTGTATTTTTGGGCTGTGTGGTGGTGGAGAGGGAATCACGGGAAAGGAAAGCAGCAAAGAGAGCATGCGTCTGCTATTTGTGAATTGAGTCGAGTTGTGGTTTGGGAAGGTTTCTTTTAAATGTGCAGTGCAGTGCAGAGTCCATGAGTGTGGGTTGTGCTGCCCATCAGCATATGCAGATACTGGCAGGGCGAGCTGGGGGAGTCTTATTCTTAATTTCTGGCCCCCACCCAACAATTTAAAAATAGAAGTGCTGCATCTGTTGTTTTAGTTACGAATTAATCCTCCGGATGGTAGGTAGGAGTGTATGCATCATTACTGTGTTTGGACGCCTAGCAATTAATTCAAATCTGAATTTAAAATCCAAATATTGCGGACGGTAGGGCTAAAAACCATCATGAATCGGGTTGTTTGAATTGTTATTTTCTAGAGTTCCTGTATAAATGTGTTTATGAATAGTGTAAAATTTTTTTTTAAAAAAAATACAGCAATGTAAACTAAACGGGGATATTTGGGAAAAAGCGTAAAAATTTTTTTTTTTTTTTTTTTGGGGGTTAGAAATGTGTTTCTGCTGGTGTGTTTGCCTTTTCGTACGGACCATGTGGCAGTGTGGGCCCTCTGAGGTCCACGTTCTTGTGACTTCCTTTCTCTGTCTCCGTTAACCCTTACACCGTTGTACATAAGTGTTTTTCGGTTCTTCAATTTTTATCTGTATTTCGTTTCTCCCGTTATCGTTAGGGCCTTGTTTGGATTGTAGTTTTCTGTCAAAAAAATTACGTTATTTTTCCTGATCACATTTCCCTATTACCTTTTTCCCTTACATGCATCAAATCGTTACAGTAATTTTTTCATGAAAAATTATGAAAAATGCAATTCAAACACAACTACTACTGTAATAGCAGGAGGCCCGACCTCGACCTGGGAAAAGATGTTAGAGATTGTAGTAGTGATACTTACCTCTCCTTTGTAATGATGATATATTTACTCAACCATAATTTCTCTAAGAATCATCCCTTGCCCAACCAAAAATGGAGCAGTATATGGATGGTAATTAGTTTTTCATACAAAAATAGGATTTCCATGACCGTATTTACCTAATTTATCACAAAAATGGAAGTAACATTTGGACAGTTAAGCTCTTATCCAGCATTGGATGTGAAGCTATTCTTATGGTTGTTGTCAAGATGAACGAGTCACTTTTGGATGCCATTAAAACACTTTCTTAGCTAGCACAGAACCTTTGGTCCTAACAAGTGAAGCTCAAACGTCCAATGCACCATGTTGATGTTCCTTGGGGGGCTTCAAAAGTGTTAGGTAACATGATGGTTTCATCCAATTCCCATGTATTACTCTAGCTAGATTATGTTTGTTGCTTCCTTCTCCAAAGATAAACAAGAAATGGAAATTTTGATTGGCTGAAATGCTTCTTAACTTGTAAAAGAATGAACTGGCGAACTTACGGGTAACCATTAGAAGTTGAGAGGGATATTGCACCAACCCCTGACTACTTTTAATTTGTTTCTCGTCTTTTGGTACTATGAGAAGGACTACCTGAAGTTATGCATCTAACTGAAATTGATTGACAAGGAAATGATTGTGTTCATCAGAATTCATGGCTGCTGTTTCTCATAAAAGTGACTGCTGCAGCGCAAGAAACTGTATTAGGAATGAAAATCGATGGTGCTCTAGCTTATTATACTTTATGCCTGAATTTGAATTATGTGTTTATATGGCAAATGGAAACCTCCAGCAAATCCGAGCCCTATTTATTCACTTAGGTTTGTTTGTTCGTATGTATGTATGCATGTATGTTTTTTTTTTTTTTTTTCCTGTTTAAGGTCCACCATTAGGCGAGGAATATCTTTATGCTCCTTGCTAACCAAGTTTAGCACAAGTGCTTATTTTCAACCAAATAATTATGCTTTTAGCTCTTTGCACGTCATGCAGTTGCATCTTATGTAACTCAAAAGCTTCTAATATTGAAGCACGTCTTTTTGTCTTTCTTCTACATAAAAGCGATTTCCATGTGTGCCTTTACTAGGCCGCTAAATATACTTCTGTTCTACTCGTTTAAAGAATTTATCTTTTTTTTTTTAGAAGGCTCGTTATTGGTATTTAATTTACGGAAACGTTATTTGCACTCTCATTTTTGTTAATCACACTTCCATTATCATTTTAATTATATAGTTTTCATTTACTAAATTATGTGATAAAACAAATAATATTTTCCTTCAATTATGACATTAAAGATAGTGGCTCCACTGTTGGTTCTCTTTAAAAAAGATTAATTGCGAAATCTAATTAAGGCTGTGAGCTTCGGATTTTTGTAGCTGGTCAATCGCTTTCCATCTGGATTACCCTATTTATATTCGTTTTAGATGCTTCTGGGAAAGTGATAGACATCCTAACTACACATTATTGCATAAGCCGCTGCGAAAATGATCTTATTGCTCGAGTAGTTTTCTTGAGATATCTGTTTCTAAAATAAAAGGCTGTGCTGTTAGGACCCCCAAAGTAACACTTGGTTTCCATTCAATTTGATAATTTTGGGGCCTGTGATTTTGACGTCACATCAGGAGAAAATTATTAGAAAGCTTGCTTATCATTTTTTTTTTATTCTTTTCATAAATAAAGCTTGTTAAAATTTTGTACGTTAAGCCCCAAAAAAATCACTTTATTCATATTGTGCTTTTATAATCATTTCGATATTTCTTGTTGACTTTACATGGATAACCTGGAATATCAAGACAATATTTTAGCAGCGGTTAAAATGAATACTTAGAAATATACGTCATGACGGTTGTTTATCCTAAAAAGATATCAGAAAGTTGTTTAAGTATGCTTATCCGGCCAAAATCCTAGGACGTGGCGGAATGCAACTCCAATATTATATCTTTCGTCTGGGTGTAAAGATGGCTAGCAAAGCTGTCAATTTAAGCGCAATGAGAACCAGTTTAGCTGAAAAATTAATACTTAACAACAAGTGTACTTCTCGAACATGGAAGTTGCAGTGACCAATTTTGTATTTTTCGGTCTTTGAGAAAATAATTCTCTAAAGGAAAGAATTTGAAGATAAAATTAATATTGTGAAAGACATAATAAGATATATATATATATTTATATAAACTGAAAAAAAAAGATATTAATAAATTTCCTTAAGGACAAAAAAAAAAAGAGATGATGTCCATCAGATGAGAAGTTAGTTGATTACCTAGTCGGTGAATCCTATCTTTAAAACGTTTGAAAAAAAAAAAAAAAAAAAAAACTGTGTGCTGTATGCAGATATGTTATGCAGGTTTGAGACTCAAGTGCGCATCAGGTTTTTTTATTCTAGGCTTTTTCTCCTTTCCGCGGTTATTGTTAATTTGTTATGCTCCATAGCGTTTTCACGCTCCTTTATCACTTGGTTAAACATAGGCAAGCAAATTAATATGCTTCACTTTACGACAATAGATATTTTGTTTTGATTGATAGGCTGTAGCCCTTGGTTTGCCCTTGTCATATCCACCTTTCTTCTTCCCCACTTATCTTTTTCAGGTAATTGTCCACACAATATCATTTTTGAATCAGGAATTCGATAACCTTTTGACGAAACAATTTCAAATTTGCCTCTTCTTCCCCTACCGTCTTTCCAGATATTTTGTTCCATGAAAATGAGTTTGTAGGAGTAAAGTCCTTGCGGATGTGTAAGAGCTTGAGTAGCTATGACCGAGATGTTGGCTTCCACTAACTGAGTGGTTCTTGGACCCCCGGCCCCCCACCCAAAAAAAAAGAAAAGAAAAGAAAAGAAAAGAACAACAATATTTTTGTTTCATTCCGTGCAATCATTATTGTTGGTTGAGCATAGCAATGAAACGTATAATAGTAGCATAAAAAATCATATAATATTTTTGTTTCATTCTCTGCTGGCACTGCACCATTCCATCTTCTCCTGCTGCTTTGTTTTATGTTATCACAACATTACAGACTGTGTGTATGTGCATATATGCAGGGGGATTTGAGGCTTATATTTTCTTGGTAGGTTGTGGGAGGATGTGCTCCGCGTTTCTAGAAAAATGTCCTCTCCTTTTCTATGGACAAAATTACCCAATCAACTTTTGTTTGTGATGTGAATGATTACATAATTTTCTGTTGGCCAACATAAGTTGATTCAGTTCATAACTGTTCACTTCCTTACAAAATATCGTGTGTTCGAATTTCGCTATCAATATAAGGATTGTATTGGTGGATGATTTGTAAGTACCTTTGTATGTAATCTATGGTCTTGGAGACCTGTTTTGACTCGTGGTGGTGATTGGAGTTGAATCCACCCATACTTAAAAAGAAAATAATTTTGTCGTAGGTCATATATAAATAGTTAGAATTCCAGGAATGCGTGTTTAGATAGAGTATAATTGAAATTGAATCTATCCAAACTTTTCTTTATAAAAAAAAACATAAGTTTCTATCGTAGGTAATACGTAAATAGTCGGAGTTCTAGGAACACGTGTGTTTAAATAGAGTATTATTTAGAATAATTATTGTAACATGATGTGGCAAGATGACTTGAAAAATGTATTTATGATGCAAACTAAATATTATTTGAAAAATTTTAGCTATCCAAATT